CTTCGGTCCGCTGTATCTGTTACCTGACGCATATTTCCGAAAATGTGCACATATTTCATATAAAGTACAAGAAGTAGTCGATATAGTCCAAATCTGTCACGTTCATAACAGAAGCTGGGGGTATACATCTGTCGGCAAAACCGACTGATACTATTTTACTTGTTTTCATTTAAAACCTCTTCAAAAATGGTAGGAAAAACTCTTTCGTCAAAGAATGAGTAATTTTTCCACAAATAATATCTTAGAGACGGAGAGATTTATTTATGATGCAAACAATGCTCTAAGACGAGAATTTTGTGTCCGTAGGAGAATTAGTTCTCAATGGAGAAAAAATAAATCCTCATTTTTGCAATTCCGGCAATAATCTGGCAACTATGGTATTATCATAGTTAAAAATATAATAACTAACAACCTGGTATTTACAAGAAAGTAAATTTCAAACAATTAACAATAGACATTTAATTAGCCAATTTAAATTTTAATGTATACACATTAACAAACTGTCAATAGTCATACTGTCCCACACAGACATGTACTTAACATATCAGACTGTTAAAAAAACACACACACACATACTTCATGCCTGTTGTAATGTCATTCCACAATATATCGACGAAACATGTCTAAACGTGGCAAAGCGTTTTGATGGAATGGACAAATGTATGTCGCAAAAAACGAGAGAAAACATCTTTGTAAAGCCGTGTTTTAGAGGTGTCGTTTTTTTTCTCTTGCTGCTAAGGTCGGGACTTGTAACACGAGTAAAGTTGGAATTATAATAGCACTGACTAGACATGACAAAAAAAAAAAAACCAAAAACAAAAACCATAAACTAACAGAGTTGTCCCATCAGACGTTGTTGTAAATGTAATACAAACAAGTTTTATTTTGTTTCTTGTTTCTCTTCATTTTTTAAATAAACAACATTTCACTGTGGACAATAAATTTTCTCTGGAATGTAGACAAATCACTGGCAATTCAATTTTATTGGCTGGGTGGGCTCCAAAGTAATTAAGGGAGAAAACAAGACAGGCGAAATTGGCAGATATTTTTTTATCAAGTAACTGAGTACACCGATATTTATATTTTAGGACTTACTGAAAAATAAACTTGGATTTTTAAATCAATCACTATCACGGCTATTGGTGTGAATTATCAAAACATTATTTTTAAAGGATTATCGAGTGAGTTTTTTTTTAAATATACTTTTCAAGGATTCTTAGTACTATAAGATTGGTGTATTTTTATACCCTCTGTCTGTCCTTAATTAAAGTTTGCAATGGGTACTGCAGCCTGTGACATAAAATTGGTCATGTATGTCCCTATATTCGGTATTTTGAGGATTCAAGCGACATTATTCAGCGGAATTGTTTCAAATTTCGTAATTGGAGCTCATAATGGGTACTGCAGTCTGTGACATAAAATTGTCTATGCAGATCCAGGTCTTCATAAAGCCCCCATGTAACGGTACCTCCCTATATTTGGTATTTTGATTATTTTAGCGACATTAAAATCTCATATTTGAAGTTCCTGCTGCTGCCTGTGACAGAAAAATGCCTATGCTGGTTCAGGTCTTCGAATAGCCCCCATATAACAGAACCTCCCTAATTTGGAGTTTTGCCATATTATTCACCGTAATTGTTTCAAGTTTCTTTTATGAATATTGTAATGGACTAAGACACAAATTACCTATGCAGTTCCACGTCTGTGTATAGACCCCAATATAACGCTATCTCCCAATATTTGGTATTTTTAAGGTTTTAACAAAAATTTTAACGGATTTAGTTTTCTTTTTTTGACAATTTCTAAATTCATTCCAAATGGCGGAGGGCATTCAAAGTTCGTCCCGGCCGAACTTACTGTTTTTTTTGGAAGATCAGACATGCACAACCAATTTTTTGGAAGAACTGTTAAACAAACCGCGAATCTTTGTGGGGAGGTTCCAAACGAAGTGGCCCTATATTTTCCATCTTCACACCAGGCCTTGAGTTAAAAGAAATATTGAAAGAAATCTGTGAAATTTCAACAGAATTGGATACTAAATTCGCTTTTATGATCGTTTGGGCTATTCAAAATGTTTAAATTTGAGGACAATCTGACTAATCTAATTTCCCATTTTATGAGAGATACTAGCTGAACCCGGCGCGCTTCGCTTTTATATGCATTCAAAATTTTATATATGAATATATGTTGGTTAAAAATATAAATAAAACAAATTCCAAAATTATAAACGTTATTATTTATACTGTAATGTGTAAACAAATGAATTGCTCGGTCTTCCAACGCCTGAACATGCCAGGAACAGCATGAAAGGAATTTCTGTTGCAATTAGAGAATTCGAGGTAGCAACATACTTTCCTGTAATAATCATACCCTCAATTAAATTTTGAGTAGTTTTTACACTCTCCACCATAGTATGGAGGGTATATTAAGTTTGTTATTCCGTTTGTAACACCTCAAAATATACATTTTACACCCCACAAAGTATATGTATTCCTGATCAGCATAAAATTCTATGTCGAATTAGCGATGTCCGTCCGTCTGTCAGTCTGCGGAAATCACTCTAGCTTCCGAACGAAATAAATTTTACTCAAATGTATATTATGTCTGCAGGACTTTTGGTTTTAGTACAGCCTCCATATAACGGTAACTCCGATATTCGGTACTTTGACGATTTTAGAGACATTATTCGCCGGAATTGATTCAAATTTGGTATTTGAAGTTCGTAATGCATACTACAGCCTATGACAGAAGATTGTCTGTGCAGGTCCACGTCTTCGTATATATTCGGTATTTTTAAGATTTTGACACAATTTTTAACAGATTTTATTTTTTTGAAAATTGCCAAACTCGTTCCAAATGGCGGAGGGTATTCAAAGTTCGGCCCGGCCGAACTTACAGCTTTTCTTCCTGTTTACTTTTAGCCTTATATCATTGCAAGGGCGTTGTGAGTCAATGCTTCTTAATAAAATCATATTTCAATCTGAAACAATTTCAATATAATTTGATAAAATTTACATTTATTGGAGGTACATACCGTGTTTGGTGCATAAAATATGTGAAATCGGCAGAGAATATATATGGGAGCTATATCCAAATGTTAGCCGATTTCTAATTAATTTGTCAAATTTATTTTTGTATCCAAATTCCGCCACACATTCTGAATAAGACATACATATGGTGTTTGGTACATAACATTCATGAGATCGGTCGAAAAATATATATGGGAGATGTACCCAAACCTTAACCGATTTCAATAAAATTTGGCAAATTTATTTTTGTCCTAAATTTAATCACTCACGGTGAGTTTCATTTGAATCGGACATACGTATCATGTTTAGTGCATCAAATATGTGAAATCGGACAAAAATATATATGGGAGCTATATCCAAATCTGAACCGATTTAAATATAATTTGACAAATTTCATTGAAATCAAACATACACAGCGTGTTTAATGCATCGAATACATGAAATCGGGCGAAAATATATATGAGAGCTGTATCCAAATCTGAACCGATTCCCATATAAAATGGCAAAAATATATTTTCTAATGAAGTGGACCGATATATCCTATCTTCATGCCAGATCTTCTATTAATAAAAATATTGAAATGCGTGAAATTTGAAAATAATCGGACTCTTATTTCACATTTTATAAGAGTTACAATTATTCCAAATTTTGGCCCTTTGTTGGGGAGGAGTCAGAAGGTGTGGTCTTATATTTTCCATCTGCTCCCCTGGTTTTGCGTTAGTAGAAATATAGCATTGTGTGAAATTTATGATTGTTTGGGTTATTCAAAATTTTGACTCTTTGTAGGGGAGGGCCTATATTCTCTATTTTTACACCTGTCCAAGCGGTGACAAAAATATTGGGATTTGCAAAGTTTGCACATTTGCAAATCAAATGACCGTTTCTCGATCTTTGAAAATTTGATCTTTTGTGGGGGAGGTACCAGAAGGAGGAGGAAAGAGGAGGACCTATATTGCTCATCTCCGAAATCTATGTAAGTTTCACAATAAGATGACGATGCATCAAGTTTGGGCAAAATCGGATACTCCTCTTGGGCAAAGAAACAGACGGATGGACGAACACCTTAATATCGACTCCAAATGTGGCACGTTTGGCACACGCCGTATCAAATGATATATACCCTCCATAGTCATATGGCTGAGGCTATAAAAATGCCTGAAATTTTCGTTAACTGTCATTTAAAAATCCGCCACAATTTGATGAAGCAAACCAAAAGTAGCATTGACCTCTGATGTCAAACAATTTTCACTTGTTTGTTTGTCGTAAAAATTACAACCGTAATTATATACAATCTCTCTCTCTCTCTCGCCATCTGTCTGTCTATTTGTCTATCTATTATCGCGCTGTACATTCATTCATCTATTTGTCATCGGATTTAGTCAGCATTTAAAATTTGTCATGTCTTTCTGTTTGTCTTCAATTCAATTTCAGCGTTTTTACATCACCTCTGACCAATTGACGTGCAAATGTGGTTAAATGTAATGGCATCAAGTGGTATGTGTGTGTGAATATTTTGCTTTTTATATTTGTTGTATTTGTTTTTTTTTTTAAATGTCTGAAATGAAGTGTTTGTCTTTTAAGAGCGAAAGTGCGCCTGGTTGAATTTCTCACAGATGATTTTTTTTCCTTGAAATAAAAAACATTTTTGTGGGGTAATTAGAAATATTATAGCATAAATGTGACGAATATGAACAGTTGGTGGACTATTTTAAATTAAATTCGTTGTAGTACAATTATAGTTTTTTTTTATTTTTTATAACAGTATTATTTCTTTCTCTTTGACACACAATTTTAAATTGATCACGTCTAAAATTAATTTTTTGACGAATCTACTTTTTTAGATTATATTAAAATTAAAAACAATTAAAAATGAATGTAGATTTAATATTTTCTAAAAATTTGGCCAGTATATTATTCAAAATTTTTAAAAATTTCCAAAAAATTGTTAAGTAAATTGAAACATGTACATACCGTCACTTCTCAGATATAGAGTAGTTTGAAGTGAAGTGGGTGTTATAATTTCTGTAAAAAAAGAAAAGAAAATATGTATTATATCTATATCTATAAAAGAGGAAAATGTTTGTATGTTTGTTTGTTTGTTTGTAATTTATGGACTCGAAAACCGCTGAATAGATTTTCCTGAAAATTTCCATATATACTGCAACATCGCCTGAAAGTAACATAGGCTATATACATTTTTGAATTTCCACTTGGAACTGGAGATATAGCATCAGAATCGGAGGTACCTCCCAAAAATTTAGATTTTATATGCACATATGTATTGATTGGTTGAATATACGGTCTCCACATTTGGAATACGTAACGGAATTTGGAACAAAAATAAGTTTGCAAAATTATATTGTAATCGGTTCAGATTTGGATATAGCTCCCATATATATTTTCGACCGATTTTGTTCATTTGATGCCTCAAACACAATATGAATGTTCGATTCCAATGAAATTTGGAATGTGTGACGGGATTTAATCCGAAAATAAATTTGTCAAATTATATTGAAATCGGTTCAGATTTGGATATAGCTCCCATATATATTTTCGACCGATTTCATGTATTTGATGCACCAAACACGCTATGTATCTCTAATTTCAATGGACTTTGGAATGTGTAGCGGAAATTTAAACAAATATGCATTTGTCAAATTATATTAAAGTCGGTTCAGATTTGGATATAGCTCTCATATATATTTTCGACCGATTTCATCTATTTTATGCACCATACACGATATGTATGTTCGATTCCAAAGAAATTTGGAATATGTAACGGGATTTTGATTAGAAAATAAATTAGTCAAATTATATTAAAATCGGTTCAGATTTGGATAGAGCTCCCATATATATTTTCCGCCGATTTCACATATTTGATGCACAAAACACGATACGTATTTCCGATTCCAATGAAATTCGGCATGAGTGGCTAAATTTGGTACAAAAATAAGTTTGACAAATTATATTCAAATACGCTCAGATTTGATTATAGCTCCCATATATATATACTCAGCCGATTTCACATATTTGATGCACCCAAAGCGAGAGAGACAAAATCTGGCACCAGAAAAAATTGCCAAATTATATTGAAATCAGTTGAGGTTTGGATATAGCTAACATATATATATTTCGGCCGATTTCATACATGTTATGCACCAAACATGAAATATATGACCGATACCAATGAAATTCAGAATGTGTGGGGGAATTTGGTTACAATAATAAATGTGACAAATTAATTGGAAATTAGTTAAGATTTGGATATAGCTCCCGTATATATATTATCGGCCGATTTCACATATTTGACGCACTAATTTCAACGAAATATGAAAGGTCTGGCGGAGTTTGGTGTAAAAGTATTTTTTTTAAATTATATTTAAATCGGATCAGATTGGGATATGATTTTAATAAGAACCATTGACCCACAACGCCTTAGGCTAACACTAAAAAACAACACAACAATTGATTTGAAATACGATTATTACGGCGAAGTATGTTGCTATCTCGAATTCACTAATTGCAATAGAAATGCCACTTAACTTCAAAAGATTGCAGTTTACTGCACGCTTAGTATTTGCTATGAAATAAATAAATCCGAAGGACAAACCCTTCGTGTATGTATGTCATGTTCCTGTTTTGCTAATGGTTTTGGTTATTTACGCATTAATGTAGTGCAATAATTTTTTTTTAATTTTTATTTTTTTTTAACCAACATATATTCGTAAATAAAATTTTGAATGCATATAAAATCAAAAGGGGTAACGAAGCGCGCCGGGTTCAGCTAGTATATTAATAAAATAGTAAATTAATTGACTGAATGTCTGACTTAAAGATTCATCAACGGCCAGACAAAACGGGTGAACCTAAAATCTTGAAATTTTGGGTGAGCGTCACTCTTGGTTAGAAGGTGTCAGATTAGACTGGGTTTGTGAAAATTCGTACCAGAACGGTACGAAAAGTACTAAAAGCTAGTAAATATGACGAACCAGAAAAGCTAGAACTATAAGGGTCACTGATGGAGTGTAGGATAAGTGTACCAAAGGAAGTGTACTACATTTGATACCATTTCGAATCATGTGAATAGTTGGAGCTAAAAAATTGAAATTAGGAGTAGAGTCAATGTAAAGAGGTAGCTTTTGAAGTTAACATTATTGACGGAGTGTAGAATTGGGATTTGGGGATAGTTTTTAAAATTTGTACTTATGAGTTTTTGGTATAATTTCGATTTGGGCGAGCCGATAAAGCTGGAATGTTGAAACTTGGAAATAAGATTAATAATGGATTGCATGATTGGGGCATGTAGGAAGTTTTGAAAATTCGTACTTGTGATTGGGGTATAAAGGAAGTTTTGAAAATTCGTACTTATGAGTACTAAATGTTACTAAATTTTGTGCAAGTTAGAGTCCTTGTTGATGGTAGATTTATGATATAGAGGTTGTGTACTATATGTGTTTAAAATCTGACATTTGTTATTAGGATCGATATTCATATGTACCCTGGACATACGAAGGTGGTTTTGGAAATGTACGAACGAAAAAGTAGCGAATGTTACTATATTTGGTATTTGGTGAAGGGATAGAATAAATTTGGTTTTGGGTGAAGAATATTGATATTTAATATTCACCCTGTATATGATGAAAAAACTGCAACCAATTTCAGACTGCTGTCATTTCTAAGCCACTCGTCCGATAGCTGTTAGAATTATTCCAGTGACAGCTCATTATATTGTTTACACGCGTACAATGGCATTTTGGTGAGAATTTTTCAGAAAAAAGTTATTCGGGATAGAATTCAAGCGTGATAGTGTGATTTCTTTATATTTGGCTGGAAAACCACAAGTGGCTATCGTTAGAGCACTCCAGCATTTAAATGTGAATAAATCTTTTGTGTCTCGTACCATCGCTCGTTACCCTGATACTGGTAGCGTAGCCCGACGTCAAGGAAGTGGACGGAAGAAAACAGCAACATCAGCAGAAATGTTTCGAAAAGTAAAGAAGCGGCTTGATCGAAATCCGAAAAACCCGAAACCCGATCGAAAAATGGCAAGTGGGCTGAACATATCGCAATATTCCATTCAGCAGATATTGAAAAATGAGCTCGGGGTAAAGCCATTGAAATTCCAAAAAGTTCAAGAACTTACATCGCAACAGAAAGATAATAGATTCAAAAGACTTTAAGAGTTGCTTCGTTTGGCCGCAATTGGTGAACTACCGAATTTGATTTTTTCCGATGAAAAAACATTCGTTACCCAGCGGTTTGTAAACAAACGAAATGATCGTGTTTACTTGCCAAAGGGGTCAGCTGAAAATGCGCACCTTCGGTTGGCTACCAGAACTCAAGCACCAGCCATGGTGATGGTGTGGGCCGCCATATCAGCCTATCGACCGTGGCATCGGAATAAATGCCGAATATCATCGCCAAAATATTCTGGAGGGTGAATAAATCCTTGGACACGCAAACATTTTGGTCGCAGACCTTGGACATTCCAACAGGACTTAGTACCATCGCACTCTGCATGCGCCACCCAAGAATGGTTAGAAAATGAGGTTCCTCGATTCATTAGGATACCAATCCGTTGGACTATTGTGTCTGGAGTATTTTGGAAAGCAAGGTTGGCACTAAAAAATACCAAAGTGTCAATCACCTCAAGCAACCGCTTTGCCGGGAATGGACCAAAATACCGTGGAGCAACAATGAACAAATCTAAATTTATTCTAAAAATTGATGCTATTTCCAATCTTTGTTTGCTTTTATTCAATAAAATTTAAAAGAAAAAATTTAAAATTATGTCGTTTGACTTTGTTGCAGTTTATTTATCTCACCCTGTATTTGGTATTGGTTAAAGGGATAGAGATAAAATTCGGAAAGGATGGGACTGGAATTTTCAAATTTCGATATTGATTTCTCTGTTGGTTGGTATGAAAGATTGTTTTGAAAATGTGTACTATAATTGTTGGAAAAGTACTGTTCTGTATTGATCACTGTTTGTATCTAGGATGGAGAGATGTATCCCGTTTTGAAATCTGTTTCTGTGGTTCACATATGGAGTCGTTGAAATTGTTCCAACGCGAACTTTTGGAACAAATCTATAATTTTAAGGAAGACTTTTCACAGACGAAGTAACGGGCACTTGCTGCTACATTCATAAAATATTAAAAAATGTAATCATTAGATTATAGCTACACTTATTCATACACTCTGTCGTTTAAAATCGTTAAGTTTCGGTATTTCATTGCCAACGCCCATACAAAGCAAAAAAACCTTCATTGACTCTGTGTGACACACAAAAATATTCATTTATAAAATGTCAGTTCAATGCTGACACACATTGGCATTAAAGAGGAAATGCATTAACGCATAATACCGGCCTGCCTGCTTGTCATAGCTCATTTAAGCTTGTGGAGGATTTAGTTTGTTGGTAAGACAAAGTTTTGCAATTGCCCAGCCAAAAAATGTTGTTGTAATTAATTGCAAACTACATAAAATTTTCAATTTGCAATTTGAGTAAATCTCCATGCTCTTCCTCCTGTGGGGCATTATTACACATCCCCCCAAGATAAAGCGAAACAAAGCCACCACAGATGGCGCAATGCGTAGCGTGTTAATTTGCAAACAATCTACAGCAAAAATTTGGCAACAATTTACAAGAATTCACAGCATTAGTTAGCCAAAAAAGGGGGGGATTGCATTTGGAGTAGCAAACCGACCGACAATTGTCTGACAAACCATGAAGAATACCATTTCCGGCCATTTAATTAGCCAAGCAAGCATCGAGCATTTTGTGGCTGCTATAGTTTTGCGTAGGAGTGTTGTTTTTTTTTTCTTTTTTCGGTGGTGGTGTTTACAAGACATTTAAGGTCAAACAAATAAATCGTTTAAAAAACCAAAAAAAAAAAAAAAACAATAATAAAACAAATGAAATGTGTTGAGTAATTAGTGTTGATTAGCTACAAGTAAATTTGGTAGAGTAAACCCACCTTTGGGAAGAGGATATGCATTTCAAAGTTTGTTTCTTAAGT